CATGCTGGCATAAAATGAAAGCAGAGATCTCATCACTATATCCTACAAATATATTTGATTACTTGCCTCCTTTATTATGAAAATTCATAACAAAACTGTCAGTTGATTTTGTGGTTTTCCTCTTTAGTCTAAACTTTTTTTCTAAGACATGACTATAAAATTAAAGGATCTGTTAAAAAAAAAGTGAATCATGATGCCTATATCCATACCCGTGATGAGTTGTTTCTTCATGATATAAGAGGCTAATCCATTGGTAGTGGGTGACTTAATTAAATGTCATGGCAAATAATCATAGATGGCATCTCATGTTTCATCCCTTACTGAGGCCATCAAGGAACTGACAAGTGACACTTTCGACTCTGCCCCCCATTTATTAGGTGTAGGTAATTGCATAAAAAGAATCATTTTTAAAACAAGATTAGACATTTTAAAAATCATTAATGCTTTAATTTTGAGCATCTAAAGGCCACCAAAAGTATTATATGACACATTTGAAAAGGGGGCAGCACCTAGACAGATTCATGTCTTTTTACCAAGTATGTTCTTAAGCTCTAAAGGTTAAATTATACATAGATATTTCAAGTGTTCCATGAAAATATAAATCATATATCATTTTAATCATAATTATGTTCAATTCATAGAGACCGTTTTTCAAAATAATCAAAGAAGTAAGGTGTTCGAAGGAGACAGTAGACAAAGGAAAAAGTGGGGTGAAAGTTGCTAAATGCATACAGGTTTCCTGCCTATTTCAATAATTCACCATTGTTTGAGTTGTAATTTTAAGATGTTTATAACTAACAACCTGTATGAAGATCAATTGTGTGAAATAGTTCAACAGTAAAGGAGATTAGTCAACTTGAGTGCAATTCATAGAGGTAAGCCTTTGGCAACAGCACAGTAGCATTGGCAGTGTTGCTGTTGCAAGGGAGGTTTGAAAGTGTCATTAATGAAGACCAGTAATACCTAAAAGTGTCTTATGACATTTTTTTGCCATTGGAATTAATGCCTCTAATCACTGGGATGAAGCCTCATGCATATTAAACAAGTGGGCAGTGTGCACCAGTGCACCTGTCCGCTGACTTTACCAAGAAAAAAAAGTATATTCTCCTTTTCTCTCTTGTCTTTATCTCTCTCTTGTTTATTCACTGAATAGCTATATAACAAGTTCTACTTTTGCATTGCAGAAGATACAGAGCCTAATGGACTACAGTCAGCTACTGTATCACAGATGGAAGTTACACTCACAACTTCAGACTTGTCAGCTTCCCCCACAAAACCCTCAACTGAGGATGGCATGGATCCCTCCACTGAGGTTTCCCAGGACTCCTCAGAGAATTCCCCAGCCGAGCTAAATATCAAGGAGGTCGAAGTGACTCCACCAGCAGACGTCAACATTAGCGTTGTGCGCAAGACAGAGAGTGAGGATAGCGTGGAGGGAAAGTGGAGCAGTGATGACCGACTTAGTCAACACTGCAGCAGCAGCAGTGGAAAGGTGGACCAGGATGCTGCTAAGGCATCTCCAGCAGACAGTGAGGAAGACGAGGGTCGCTACAGTATGGGGGATGCAGATGATCCTCCCCAGGCAGAGGTCATTCCTATTACAGGATGAGATGATGAGGATTGAATGTGTAAATAGTATTGGCTTTGGATATGTTCATGTGAGCTATATATACACATAAATATGAAATGTGTGTGTGTGTGTGTGTGTGTGTGTGTGTGTGTGTGTGTGTGTATATATATATATATATATATATATATATATATATATATATATATATATATATATATATATATATATATATATATATATATGCCTCTGTATGTGTATACTGATATACATACATACATACACATATACACATATATACACATAAACATACATACATATATACACATCTACACATGCACTTTTATACACATGTACATACATATACACATATACATATGCATACATACATATATATATATATATATATATATATATATATATATATATATATATATATATATATATATATATATATATATATATATATATATATATATGAGTGTGTGTGTATATGTGTGTGTCTGTAATGTATATGTATATAAACATATATATGAATACATTAAAATAATGAGAGAAAATAGTGTATATGCCTTCATTATCACTGCATAACGTTTAACACATAAAGATGCATCCAGCCATAGTATGACTGTACTATATTCAAGTCACTTCCAATGCTTTTGGGATGATGCAATATTTAAGTGCAACAAGTGAGGCCAGATAGACAAAATTTCTTTCAAATTGAAAAAATCTTTTTGAAAATGAAGTGTAACATGTATTTTTATTTTTTATTTTGATACTTTCTATCCATCATTTTCTTTTCTCTTTTTTTTTTCCTCTCTCTCTCTTTTTTTAAGCATATCAGGTAAGACAAGTAGGTCTTGATCAGCCTTGCTAAACAGTTTTGCGCTAGTGATCTCTTCCTCATAGGCCATTAAGCATGGTTAACTCAAAAGTTGCTAGGCAAAGCAGCATCCACTTGTAGAGGCACAGTAATAATAATAATAATAATAATATTAATAATAATAATAATAATAATAATATAACTATACAAGATGTGATATGCAGGCACACTTTAGGTAGCCAACCCCCCTTGCCTAGCACCAGTTCTTTCTCACTATATCTGCTAGAAGTGTGACTGCTGCAGGGTGTAATGATGAGATGTGGCTAGCTAAAAGTAGGAAAGAGCTACAGGATAGAATTTTAATGATCTTTTCATGAAATCAGCACTCATAGAAGTGTTCGCAAGAATTGTACCATTTATTGCTTTCCGAGGTACTGTTATCAGCTCTGCTATTGCTTTTATCATTGGATGTATGGGATATATATTGTTCAGTAGTAAGAGTTTAAAAAGATATTTGTGTCTGTTAAACAAACGTTTGTTGATTGAAGGTTATACATATGTTATATTAATATGACCATGAAATTAAGCCTCAGTGAGGTGTCAGGCAGATATTTACCAGGTATGAGGAATTGAATAACCCAGCAGGAACAAGGAACCCATAAATACAGTGGTTTGCTCTGACTTGATATCTGTGAATAATGGAATACTACAGTATTTTCTTCATTCATCCTTTACTTGGAGTTGAAATAAATCATTGTGTAAATGAAAAGATATTATAGCAGTTGTTGATTGTGGTCAGTGATTAACTTGTAAGCATGAGAGTTTGACAGCAAATATATATTGGTACTGAACCAGGACCTCTTTGTGACAGTAGAACAGATTCCATGTTATTGAAAAGCTGTATTTTTATGGGACATAGCAGCATTGCTAAATAATTTTATAAGGACTGTGAAGCTTAGATTAAGATAGAAGGGTATTATATGGCTTTACTGTTGTGAGTCTGGGGCCCTGGTTCAGCTCTTAGTGTGATATGTTGCAGTGAATTCTGTTTTATTGAGGTGGGGGGATTCCAGTAGTGCAAAAACTCCCTTGTAAGTCTCAGCCTTATATTAATTTTTTCCACAAAATCACTAGGGGCAAAGGGTGTTTTTTTTATGTTTTAGAGAGTATAGGAAATTTAGTGTCAACATAGTCTGCAAGATTGTACTTAATAGTGCAACTGTCCAGAATACTGTTTGTCCCTTTGATATATTTATTTTCTTGTAGGGCAAATTTGGTAGCAGGGAGACTTCACCAGTTTAATTTCAGACATGACTCGTGTAATATTTCCATCATGCTCTCCCTTCGCTCTTTTTCATCTCGTTAGTTTATCTCCGCACAGAGAGAATTCTGTCTTTTTTTCAACTTTTGGAAAGCAAACAATCACAAGATAGCACACAATGCACGTTTCAGCCTGCCCGCTAGGAATGTGCAGTACCCAGAGCAACGAAGATAAGGTGGTGTGAATAAAAAAAAACAAACAAAAAAGATGTATTTAGGTAAAGGAGGTAATCAAACTGTCAAAGCATGTATGGGGGCTACATTACGTTCGTGCTTAGTCTTACAGAAATGGTACCGTGTACACTTTGCTTCTCCCTGTTGCTGTAGGGCGAGACCAGAGGGTCGTCCTGTAGTAGTACATCACAAGGTTTCAGTGCTGTGTTCATCCTCATTGTTTTACACAATTACTTGTTGTATTTTGTGCCTCATTGTAACTTTTTTATGAATTATTCATCCATTGTTTAGCTTGTAAATAAATGAGTAATATTAATATAACAGTTAGTGATTCATCATGCCTTGTACATAACCATGTATTCCTTGACCCCAAGTACATAATAAATGATTTAATAAATATGACAAGAGAACTTGTATATCATTTTCCTTACTATAAAGTGGTTACTTGAAAAATCAAACACATCTATCAGAAGATTCATTCAAACTGATTAACTTCATTAAGCAAGACATTCATATTGAAACTGTGTCAATCATCAGTTGTGTTTAATATTCAATAATTAATGATTTCTAATCTTTACTTAGCGATGTGTATTGTTTAATTTCAAAAGGAATTGTACAACACTTTTTTCCCAATTTCCTTTCTTCATCTATATATTTTTTTCTTTTTTCTCTTCCTTTATCATGAGGGGAAATTATATGTTGCTTAAAGGAAATGAGGGTGCAGAAGATATTCAGAGTTCATGAAAAAAAATAAAGAACAATTATAACTATAAAAAAATTAAAGAACATGGAGAACAGTAGATGTAACTTTCATGAATCAGTTTGAATATATATATTTGTATATGTATATGTGTGTGTGTGTGTGTGTATAAATATCAAAACTTGTCTCTTTCCATTCATTAAAGTTTTCAAACTACATAAGTTGAAGCTATGTAAACATTGCATGCCAACCATGTATGAAAGAAATCAGTAAAACATGTAGATTATCTACTCGTTAAGAAAAATATGGCTGTGGAATATTATCTATCTGAGATTGCACACACACACACACACACACACACACACACACACACACACACACACACACACACACACACACACACACACACACACACACACACACACACACACATACACACACACAGATATATATATCAATCATCATCGAGGGTCTAACGCCGAAGGGGCGCATGGCCGCATCCACCCATTTGCTTCCAGCTACAGGATCATTCATGGCGAGTCTCTAGGCAGGCCCTCGACCCATCTCCAACTCCTCGCGACAGGACTGGTCGAGCTGCCCAAGCCATGACCTCCTAGGCCATCCCACGGGCCTCTCCACCCAGGATTGTCTCGCAAAGAGACAACCTGATGGGCAGGGTCACCCACAGGGAAACGAGCTAGGTGCCCATATAGCCTGGGTTGGTGATCCTGGATTATGCAAGTAACACGTCCTATGCCAGTCTCACGGTGTAGCCTTAGGTTGGACACATGGTCCTGCCAACTGTACCCCATGACACGGCGTGGAGATTTGATACAAAAGGCATCAAGACGAGACGCCAAGGCACTCGATAGCGTCCAGGTTTCGCATCCATAAAGCAAACCTGACAGTATCAATGCCACACACACACACACACACACACACACACACACACACACACACACACACACACACACACACACACACACACACATACATATATATATGTGTGTGTGTGTGTGTGTGTGTGTGTGTGTGTGTGTGTGTGTGTGTACATAGTCGTGCAAGTGACTATGAATTCTCTCTACATACATACGACAAACGGCTTTGTAACCATTAATTTCATTCGAAATAAGCAGTAACTATCATGCCGTAAAGAACCTGAAGTCCCATAATGGTGCTGCCAATCCAAATAGCTAAAACGAACACGAATTTCCCTCGAGACCGCAAGCGAAAACGGTGGCAAGTTTAATTCGCTTCCAAAAAAATGGTTTGGAAATCTTTATAAAGCTTTTTTTCGGAGTGATAATGAGATGGAGAGGAATTGCGGACACAAATCGAAGAAAAGGGATCCGAAAGAGAAAGAGAGAAAGAGAGAGAGAGAGAGAGATAGAGAGAGAGAGACAGACAGACAGACAGACAGACAGACAGACAGACAGATATAGATATAGATATACACATATTTATCTGCATTTATATATATATATATATATATATATATATATATATATATATATATATATATATACATACACATTTATTTACACACACACACACACACACACACACACACACACACACACACACACACACACACACACACACATATATATATATATATATATATATATATATATATATATATATATATATATATATATATATATATATATATATTTATTTATTTATTTATTTATATATATATACATATATATATATATATATATATATATATATATATATATATATATATATATATATATATATATATATATATATATATATATGTACACACCCACACCCACACGTGTGTGAGTGTGTGTGTGTGTGTGTGTGTGTGTGTGTGTGTGTGTGTGTGTGTGTGTGTGTGTGTGTGTGTGTGTGTGTGTGTGCAATTGTTTTGGGAAAATCATTCGGTTTGATTCATGTAACAAGTGTCCGCGGCCACTGGCGATATCTAAACCGTTCACCAATAATGATGCGGGTATATTCATGCTGATGACACATTATACCTGTATTTTTTTCTTCTTCATTTTGGATGATTGCATATAATATTTCGAAAAAATTGAGCGAGGGAGTGATTAAAATTTCTTGATAAATTTAGTAAAGACTGAATGGCGATAATTATAGTGATAATAATAATAAT